ATAAATGGAAGGACGCAGTCAACCTCTCGAAATGATTCAGAGGAATCCATGAGACTAACCGCACGCAAGATCTCACATGAAAATAAGAAGAAGAAAAATAGGAACCGCCTATTCCTATCTCAATATTTTTATATATCCAAACACCTTATTCTAAACTCATACACCTAACAAAAGACAGATTAGCTCAAATAGCTAAATCAGATCCTTTTAAAGTTATTATGTATTTGACATACTTTTAAATAACTACACTAAACATTCCGAAATAAACCTTTATTTCTTTAGACGCAAACATCAAACGACGTGAAAGGTGCGAATCTGCCAACCTTAAAATCAACCAACCAACCTTAAAATAGAACACCATAAGACAATGTATAGAAAAGGACCCTACAAAAGTGACTTGATGTCGATCTTCAACTTCAAAATAAAGTAAAAATGAAATGCAATACTGACAAAAATTACAAATTCGAATAATATCGTTTCCAACACACTGACGATAACAAAAAGTTAATTTTCTCCTAACCTGTTGGTCAAACAAATAAATCTCCGCGACGATTATGCAAAGCGGGCTTCTTAAGATATCATAAATATTCATGGCAAATCTACCAGTTCTAGGTCGCTTCGGTTTATAAGCCGGAAGTTAAAAATTGAAATCGCATTAATTAATTTTACGGCGAGCAACTCAAGACCAAGGCACTGTTAATAAAATCTACCCTTTCTCCTAGTTAACCTAAAAGCATCGTTATATTTTAACGACACGCCTCGCCTCCAAACGCAATCGTATTTTCTTTAAATAGCCCTTTACGGGGGTCGTAAGTCACGTTTTTAATTAGTTGTTGGAAACAATGATTCTTTTTTATCAAGCATTGCATTTTTACTTTATATTATCTAGGCGCGAAAATGCTGATTGTACCGTCTCCTTTGAACTTTTTGATTGTGAATAATTGCACTATGTTTTATTATCCCATATCCCACATTCTTAAAAACTATTCAAGTATAGACAAAGGAAGCAGGTACTACTCTATAGCACTTTCTAATGCTAAACGAAATATTTCTCTATGGTTGGGCTGCAATTAGGTGTGTAATAAATATCCACTTCAGTCTTGTGACAACTTCTATGTTCCGAAATTATGTCTTCCAAAACGTCAAGTTACTGAATTTCATACCATTCGTACAACATGTTCACCAATCGGTATTAAAGCTAATCATTTATTGTTCCGAGGTCTGCTATTGTTGTCTCCTTTTAATCAATATCTGTTTTAAAATATTTTATTATATGGCTTACCTGATGCCTGAAATTACACTGGGATTTAAACTATTTCTTTTAAGTACAATATTATTATTGATTTTATAACACAGATTGAAATTTCCTGGTTGATGACATGCCACGGATTTTGTTTAGAATGAAGCATAAAGGTCAATATTCCATCAACATATTCTACGCCCAAAATTTGAGATAAAATCTTAATAACTGGGATGCACGGCTCACTTGCATTTGAGATTCAAAATAAAGACTTGATGGATAGTTTTATTGTTTTCCCAAAGATTTCAATCATAATTAAATAAAATTTGAACCTAAACTTAATACTGCATCAATATATTTTTATTGATACTAAAATTTCTTCTCGTATTTCACAGAGATATGACGTCAGTTGCGATTATGCGATTTTTGCCATTTGAGACGTGTTTTGTTTCTAAATATTACACACTTATTTAAAATTGCACTGCGCTGTTTAATGTGTGGAATAACCAAAACTGAAATTCACCTGATTGACACAAGGATGGGGACTAAAGCATTCATAAATGCTTGTTTTTGTTGGCTGACGCTATATACTCATTTTATGACTCATTTTATGTCTTTTTGGAGAAAATGTTTCGTATCTCTCTCGAAAAATACATTTGTTGTTTTAAAAGCAAAAAACACTAAATCGTTTAAATTAATTTTAAAATTTGGTAATCAGAAGTAACTAAAAACGATGTTTATTTCAGTTTCAGACGAGTTAAAACTATTTAAATGCCTTGCATTCTTTAGATTGCCAGTAATTTTACAAAAATATGAATAAATTTACACTGTGGTGCAACGGCGATTATGCAAATGCAGAGTCGTGATGTTTGGTACATAGAAAATAAGCAAGGTAAGCCACTGGATCTCCGAAAAATAGTAGGAGCAGTCATAGACCCTAATTTAGAGATATTTCCTATTGTGTTATTATTACAGTTAATTTAATTGTTATTTTGATTATTTTTCATAAATAATTACTTTAGTCATGGAATTCTTGACCATAAAAATCGAAAATATAATTTGTTATTTCAAATGTTTAAAAACAAAGCTCTGTTGCCAATAACTCTTGAACGCATGAAGTTATGCCGTTAATATGCCGTTTGAAACTTTTTTCTTGCAAATTTAATCTTTCTGTTTTTGTTAAAATAATTGTATCATTCTATTTGAAAATTGGAAACTAAAAATTTCGAATTGACGTCTTCTAGCGGGAGCAGTGAAAACTAGTTTGTCACAGGTATATTTTTTCTGAATAAGCAGGGTTTCCTCTTTTAAACGACGCTTAGTATGCTCAAATGTGTTAAGTCAAGTTTATCAACTTATTTATAATAAAACATTCTTTTGTAAAATCCATTTTTTTCCACCCCACCATAGCTGTTACGCCCCCTACCGAACTTGAAATATATTTCCAATAATTTCTTGTGGACTCGTCAAATTTACAATTAGTGGTTTCGGAAATACAGCCGCTTATCTCGTTTATTTGCCCATTCTATACATCGCGTTCCAATATCGATCGCTCTATTGACAATTAGTTGTACAGGGTGAGTCAACGATTATTGAACTGGTGGCATTTACTTGATGAAAATCCACTTATCCAAATAAATGAGAACTAAAAGTTCAGATTTTCACGAAATTATATATTTTCACATGACAATTGTTTCGACAACACCGTGTCTTTATCAAATCAAATCATTTGATAAAGACACGGTGTTGTCGAAACAATTGTCATTTCATAATAATTTCGTGAAAATCTGAACTTTTAGTTCTTATTTATTTTGAGACAACGATTCATTATTTCCTTGGTTTCAAAAGCTAAGAGAAAATCGTAAATGCAAAAGTTGTAAAGACTCTTATGATGCACAATTTCTAATTATTTTAAAGTTTACAGGGTGGCTCCAAAAATCGTTAGCAACGAAACACACATTTTTTTTTAATGGAACGCCGCATATTTCAATTTTGTTTTGAATTCCTTATAAAATTCTTCAACCTTTTTATTATTAATAATACATACCTAACCGTAATAGTTTTGCCAATATTTTCGTTTTTTTAGAAAATGCTAGGACAGCCCCCTCGATCATACAATTCGGGACGCGTGCAGGAGAATAACTAGACATGTGTATCCAAGTAGAAGGACATATTTTTGAACATTTATTGCGCTAGGTATTTCTGTGAATTTAAAGTTTGTCTGTTATTTTCACCAAAAATTGCTAATACCCGTCTGTTGCTCTATCTACGGCTCCAACAAAGTTCTTTCTCCAGTTAGCTAATTGTTTTGTCATGGCTAACTAATATTATAGCAATAGTCTTAGACAGAAAGAAGGATAAAGATTGAAAAAGTTAAAATAAATCTCACAGTAATAAAAATAGGTATATGAGATCCTTAATAAAAGTTGTAGGTTTTTGTAAGATTGTTCAGAAAAAATACCAATATATATTGTGTGTCATTTAAGAAAATAAAGAGTTTTTCAATTTAAAATGACCACCCTGTAACATGTAGGGTCTAATTCAAATTCTATTGCATTTGTCTTTTACGTCATTTTTGAGTAACGCTAATATCACTTATGAGTGATCTATCTTCCTCCCAAAATAAGGGCGCCATCGTAATTTTCTTGCAAGTGTGAAAACTAGTTTTTTTTTACGTATGTATTATTGTTAATAAAAAAATTTAAGAATTTCAAAACTAAATTTAAAATAGGGTGTTTAAACAAAAGTATGTTTTATTCGTCACGCTTTTTTGAGCCACGATACTTTAAAATAATTTTAAACTATAACAATCTTTACAACCTTCGTATTTACCATTCTCTCACAAATTTTGTAACCAATGATATTATTAACTTTACTCTATCGTTAACTCACCCTGTACATTCTAAAAAGATTCGTGAGTTAGTTTAAACAACTTTAATAGACAATTCTCTATTGATGCTATTTCTGAAAAGAAATGCCATTAGTCCATAATGTCGTTTTATTGTTCACTTGTTAGGAGTAATCTCGAGTATGAGCCTTTTAGCTGGAGCCCACGATATGGTTATCATTTTCAGTTGAGCGCCGTGTAGGGGAAGTTTTGCAACTTTATTAATTCTTATTTAAATTTTGCGTTAGACCGTAAATCCTTATCACCTGAACTCAACATTCTACCAGACATGCTTTGACATTTTCCTTTTCTCGAAGATTAAGTTGCTTGGTCTTGTTAGTTCAATTATTTCCTGCGGCGGTTGTTGCTGAGTCGAACTTGCTAACGTTTCGCCACTCATCCTGTTGGTTTCTTCAGAGCATAACTGGCGCGCAGGAGGAATCCAGAAGTTTTGTAAATAGCATTACAGTAGCCTGTGGAAGTTCCTTTAAAAAAATCATTATGATTTTGTGCATTTTCTAATAGTATATTAATACATTTTTAATGTGACCATTGTTTTGTTGGCTTTGAGAATGTGATTTTTATGATGACTACATGGTTATTACGCCTCTGGTTTGAGTATTGTCCAGTTAGAGGTTTTATATGGAAAAATAATTTGGAGGCCCCGTAATCTATAGGCGCTACAAACTGTGTGAAACCCACTCTAATTTGCAACGAGGTGTTTTGTAATTGGCAATAAGCTAATGGCTTTTTTAATGCACATGCACAGCAACCAAGGGGTGTATTCCGATATTATATTTTCTATTCGGTAATGGCCCGCGACTTTCAACACGGTATCGCTATAGACTTTCACGTTGCCACTTTTTTTTGCAGATGCATGGGTTGCGTCGACTGATGCAGGGCGACGCGAAACATCCCAAAGCGCCTTTAGGAAATAATTTTCGACCGCCCCAGCCGCTACATCATCGGCCGGTTAGGACAAATATTGACTTCAACATCAAAAGCCGGGCCACTGTGAGTTCCGCATCACTTATTCATGAAGAAAAAATATTTTTTTAGAACGACAGTTGACTTTGCTTTACACAAATCGCAACCCATAAGCGTTATTATTGCTTTAGTAGGACCGTTCTTAAAACTACTAATAAAGCAGTGTGCAGCAACCAAGGACAACCGCTAAACATTTGAATGTGGTAACAAATTGAACCTATATTTCTCAATATGGTCAGCAAGTACTGCAGTTTTTTGTAAATAATAATAAATAAAAAAATAATAAATAATTTCATGGCGCTTCTTCAAAATGTTTACTTAATGCTAATATTGTTTTGATGTCTTCTATTCGAAAGCTTTAAAAAAAGACTCAACTAAAACTGGGTCTAGATCTCATGGAAGGTATTCATACTTACCTATTACCGCGTTCATACATTGACGTCGATTCAACCATCTAATATAATATACATTGCTACAGCTAACGCAGCAATTACATCTTTGTCGATTTTTACATTTTACCTTTTTACTAAAGATAGTATGCGACTCACTGGCACTAGACAGATCGTGGGGTTGCACCATCTTGCCTTTAAAAATCGTTTCATATTCTCCTTTTGGCCTTTTTTTATAAAAATTTTCTCAGTGATAAATAGTTTCTGAGCTACAGTACACATTCTTGTCTGACCCCCCCCCCCCACCTCCTTTTTTTTATATGATATAAGCCATAAACACAATCTGGCTTCTTTTGTTATCTTTATCGGTTCTAGAATTATAAATTATATGCTCAAAAGTATTCCCCTACAGACTTTCCAAATAATTCAGAATTTTTGTGTGAAGCCGCAAAAATGTGAAAGCGCACCAATCCATGCGGTAGCCGCAAAGGGGGGATGGGTGTTTGTTTTGGGGTTGGGGCCGTATTATATGTGTTTAGACAGTTCGCTTAAGGTGATTTATGGTAATCTTATTGTGAGGCAACAAAACCCGATTATCCGGGAGATTGATATCGGCAAGATGAGTCTAATATGTGGATAAATACATTGTATTGCTTCAGGTATCGTATAATGCATCTATTGTGCCGCTAGCGTTATTAAGGATTAATTAACGAATTTCACACGCCATGAATGAGAACACATCATAGTAGGACTGATTGCAAATGCGTGTTGTCGATATTTTAATAGAATCTTGTTGAACGTTAGTCGATGCCATGGGCGGATTAAGATTGATGGAAAAACCATATACGCCGGTGTCGGTGAAAATAATGCTAATCCCATTGAAATCCTTTACCTTCCTAAAATTTTTCTACCGAAACTAGATCGTCGGATATTTGTCAACGGTTTTCTGAAAAAAAAAGTTGCTCCATTTATTCTCAACGTCTCACAATTTTTGAAAATTTCACAACGTGGATTTGCAGCATATAAGCGGGGATAATGTGATTTCGATCCGAATTCAAGTCGAGCATTTTGCTGATTTAGGCTATCATTTTTTTTATTCCAATGAACATCTCAACAAAGATTATTCTGTCAGATAACTAGCTCTCATTATTATTGTTACTTTACAAATCACTGCGACTAAGAATGTCCACATTTCAATTATTATGCTGTTTAGAGATCTCATGTATATTTTCATCAAGAATCATTACATTATTTTAATTATATTTATTTCCTTTTAAAATATTACAAATTCTCATTACCATATGAGATGCGATTAGACCTTTCTATATATAGTTTGTTGCCATACAAATTCTCGAAAATCATAAAATTTGTAATAATTTAAGTAAAGGCTCAGAAGTTTGTAGTAATATATTGGGTTGTTCGGAAAGTCATTTCGTTTTTTTTTGGGAACATGAAAGACAGTTTTCGTATAATGAATAAATATTTTATTAAATTATATATTGGCCATTCTGGTCCAACACCTTTTGCCATCTTTCTGGCAGTAACATAATTCCCCTCTCATAAAAGTTTTGGTCCTTGCTGACAAAAAACTAGTTCAGGTGGTTTTTGACATCTTCATTTGAGGTAAAGGTTTTGCCATCCAAAAAATTTTGCAGGGACCGGAACAAATAGTAGTCGGAAGACGCCAGATCTGGAGAATATGGTGGATGTTGCAGTACGTCCCATTCAAGCTGTAAAAGTTTTTGGCGAGTGACCAAACTTGTGTGAGGTCTCGCATTATCCTGGTGGAACACTACACCCTTCCTGTTGATTAATTCGGGCCTCTTCTCTTTAAGTGAATCATTCAATTTGTCCAGTTGATGACAATAGACTTCTGAATTATTCGTTGTATTGTCCGGCAAAAGCTCAAAAAAAACGATTCCTTTGACATCCCACCAAACGGAGAGCATCACCTTTTTTGGTGAATGTTGGCTTTTGACACGCTTTGAGCCGGTTCATCTTTCCTGCTCCATGACCTCTTGCGTTTAACATTGTTGTATACAACCCATTTTTCGTCCCCAGTAATAATCCGCTTCAAAAATGGATTTGACATCAAAATTGCCGGATTTTCTTAACGTTTGAGGAGCGAATCACACACGTCAACGCGACGACACAAATTTCGCTCCGTAAGGACATGGGGCACCCACACATCGAGCTTCGAGGTTAAGCCCATGCCTTTCAAATGGCCATAAACAGTCGAATTCGACAAATTTAATCTCTCACCGATCTCTCGTGTGGTTATTCGCCGATTTGCATCAACTAATGCCTTTATCGCATCTTTGTCAGCTTCGACCGGCCTTCCAGACCGTGGTGCATCTTCGACATCAAAATTGCAGGATCGAAATTTTGCAAACCAGTTCTGGCACTCGCGCACTGTTAACACGCCTTCTCCATACACATCCGTCAATTTTTTTCTCGCTTGGACAGCATTTTTACCTTTTCTGAAGTAAAAAAGTAAAATATGACGAAAATGCTGCTTATTGCTATCCATATTTAAAAGGGCACCAACCAAAAACTACTGCGTAGAATTAATAGAACTTTTTCACACACAAGCCTTGCAATATCAGCTCTCAAGACATATAATGGTTATGCGGCTTAAGTGTGAAGTTGGTTTCGAAAAAACGTAATTAAGTCCTCTGACGGGAAAAAACGAAATGACTTTCCGAACAACCTTATATATTGTATCAAATTAAAAGGCAACTGACGAAAACATTTTTTCTAACAATATCAAAGTTAAAATGCAAAAAACATGATTAATTATTTATTAAGGAAGATAGATCAAAATACCATTTTATAAATTTCAATATGTCGGGAGAATGATTAAAAAATATGGTGGTCGTTACGATAACATTTATCTAACATAAATGTCTTTTGCAGACAGGAAAGCAGTGTCCGAGCATGTATAAAGACGTTTACTACAAGGCGAACAGTTGGAAGCAGCACTGAGAAAGTGAAAGAACTCGACTACGTGCCATATCCGAAACACATATTGACCCGCGGGAAATCATACTATAATATCGTGTTGTGACCAAAAAGAAAAACTTGCTATCCTGGTGTTATCCAAAATACAAATAATAAAACATATCATACCCATATATTTTGCGATGATCCGTTGTGCGATATGATACGACTGAGATTAAAAAAAAATAAAATGCTTTATTTTAGAATTAGACAAGAAATCGTTTAAATGTTCTGTTGTCGGTTTCGTTGAAGTTTCGTTCATGGCCTAAAACGCTAAACTTATAAATTAAATATTATATCATGTATAATAAGTATTTTAGTATATGATAATGTACATTTAGGTGAGGGAAATAAGTTAATAAAGTTGTTTTTAACGAGTATACAGTGTTTTATTTACTCAAATCTTTATCGTATGCAGTAGGTAATATACGGTAAAATTGCTAATGACGATCTGCACATACATCACCATTTATAAGGCCTGGTATGGAATTTTAGTAGACCGTATACCTACTGTAAAGAATTGGGATAGGATGAAACTTGACTGAACCCGCTGTAGACGCTTATATTACTACATCGCAAACATGTGCACAAAAGCACTTATGCAGAAAAACCCATAACCTATAGGTATGTAGATTTGGCTATAAAGATATAAAGATATACGGGTTTTCACATGCTGAAATGACAAGCACTTCAGAAGCCAATATCAAAATATCTTGAGAAGGGACATTCCTTTAATAATGCGCTCAAATTTCAAACGAACTGTTATCACTTGTATTTTTTAATGGAACATTATTATGGAAATTATTATAAATCTGTAGCGAGCCTGAGCATAAAACTCATTTTAGTGAGCAGAGCGGAACTCTGACTGACTTGTACTTAGACTATTGAACAGATTGAAGGTCCAATAATCGAGCCCTTTTCCATGTCGAGGTCAGTCAAATTGATTCAACATAAATATAACAAAAACATGAGAAAATCCCAGAGGTGAACACCTGTCTTGTCAATGGATATTATATCTGTTAGACACTAGTGCTTATTATTATTTTTATTATTATTAAGTTAAGGTAAAATAAGTTAAGACAGCGACATATTTGGAAAAGGTGCTTGCAAGTTATCAAAAATTCTTAGAGTTATGGTCTGTTGATATGGGATTATCGAAGGGTGGCCATTGACGTACAACGCAAGAAGATTATTACCCAAAGTTTCGGAATTTAAATTCAGGTAAAATTGTGGTCCGTCATAGAAAATAATTTTATACCTACCTGGGTTTAATATTCTTTGGTTTGGTATACTACTTAGTTAAAGTTTATTAGTAATCATTCTTATTTCGTGTGTAATACAGCGTGTGTTGAATCGTGTGCGAATTATGCAAAATATGTGCGAGTCTAGTGTATCTCAGGAGATGGTCCCGCCCAAATGGAAAAAATGTATAGCGTCATTGTAATGGGCAATGCAAGTGATCACAGTAGACAGTTGACTCAAACCCCTACCTCATGTGACACAAAAGCAACAATCCAAAACCAGATGTATAATGACGACATTTATTATCAGGAAGATTATACCCAAAAGCAATTAATTGAGGTTCTACAAAGCTTGAACCTACAAAAGGAATACGTCTGTGATAATTATGCAAAAAATCTAGGGCATACAGTTTTAAGGCTTCCATGTTTGGCACCAACTGAAATCTGCCATTCGTCGTAACAATATTTTTCCCCGTGTTAACTCCAATGTCCTCAAACTTATAGCAACCGAAGTTTTTAACATCTCTCCACAAAGTTTTGCAAATTCTGATAAACATATAGAAAAAGCAGAACAATCGTATATCCATATTGCAAATAATATAGAACAAATAATAATTAGAACTGATATATTATGTGAATAATTTTAAGTAATTTAAGTAGGTAATAAAAATAATTTGTAATTTTATTTTAGATTTAAACAAAAATACATACATAAATAAATATTGTTTACTATATTTCCTAACAAAACCCCAAATAATTAAATTCTGAGCAAAGTAGGGACCTTTTCGGCCATATTTCATTCTTACAGCTTGCCCGGCTCTTTCCTTAATTCGTATCAGTTAGTCACTTTCTTATATCTATGAACAGCCTTTACCTCTTTGAAGATGTAAGGTACGAAACTTTTGGGTAAAATTTAAATTAATTGATCTGTTATACACATCAGTTGGTTATATTCGGACAAGCCGATTCTTGAAACGGCTATTTGCTTTTTAATTAGAGTAAAACTGATAACCTCGGGCGATTAACATGTTGGACAGAGTTGTCGCGCATGGGTTTTATAATACCATCCTAATAATTATGTTAATGTAATAGTGACATACCCACCATACTTCTCAATTCCCGCATTAAGCATTTTGAGGAAGAAAGTGACTGCCACAGCATAAATATCCTTTCCGGTGAAGTCTATAAAGGTTTTGTAAAGTGGGCGTAATAAAATCTGAACGCCAATGCACTGTTCTAATTTGAGCTGGTTTCATCAGATATTCATAATTTTAAGTACCGTTCAAGAAGCGTCTGGCTATCGTCGTACACTAGGTAAGTAAAATCCTTTTTTATTATTATCTATGCCAACGTTTCTTTTAAATATTATGTGAGAAGCACTTTGGAACCACCCAAATCCTCATATTGTATAGAAAAAGCAAAACCAAATATTAAAATGAATTTTGAAAATGGATGAATGTATTTTTTACCACAATCCAAGAGATAAATAACTAAGTATGTTTTTATAATATTAATTTTACAATATTATAAATTAATTCTAGTAATAAATAATAAATTAATAAATAAAAATAATACAGTGATACATCAGTTTTAGTTTTCCGACCAACATTTAATAAAATAATTAAAGTTTCGGAGAGGTACAAACTAATCTAAAGGAAAAGAAAGTATCGTATATTATATTTAGCAAAAAAAAAATGTGTATGAGAGAATGAATGCCATCTAAAATAATTAAATTAATCACACATAATATCGATTCCGAAATTAGTCCGTAATTCTCAAAATGGCGTTGTAATGCAGTGTCGTTCAGGTTTAATTAGAATTTAAAAATATTAAATGGAAAAATGGAGATTACACAGGCCATACCTAGAGTAATAAAATGTAAATTTTTAAAGACAGGGACAACAGGGTAGACAACCTAAAAGTATTTCAGTTTTTAAGAGCTACAAACCCCGAATACCACATGAGAATAATAAATATAGTATTTATTGTATTTAAGTATATTGACTTATGGTGCCGAGGCGCTTTGAACACATTCAGAATAATAATTTTGTCATTTTTTGAAAGCGAGGTTTTATTAATCCTTTTCTCAGTATCAAATTCAGAAACAATAACCATTTTCAAGAACGAACTTTGCAAACAACTGAAGTAGCTATAATCCAAATTTTAAATACTAAGGCACATGTAATTCCTGTTCATCTACCTGCCACTCTAAGAACCCTCGACAATCGTCATATGTAGAATACTATACTTATAGATTGCGGCTAAGTCTACTAACTTTTACAATTCATAACTCTGTCGCATTAAGAAACAGCATGGATCAACGCCATAGTAGTAGGATAGGTGGTTCACTCTATTGTTGTAGAGGAATACTATGTGCCGCAAATTCCGCTCAGCATTGTTTTTTTTTCAGGTCATGGTGTCCAACAAGGGGCTCAGTTTATTTATTATTTTGCTGTTTATTGAAAACTCTCTGCAGCTCTGCGTGTCTAATTCCGCCATCACGAGCTGCTCGCAACTAACCCTAATCCGAAACCAACCCCTATCGATCGCCAATTACAAGAGATATTTGGAAATATCTGGAGGTACTCTTGAGTGGATACCTGCAAGAACATTTAGTAAAGTATCGCTCATAACGGTTCTTCAATTAAGCCGCAATAAAATCAAAACATTGGAAGAAGATTCGTTCTCGGGACTGCAGGATCTAACGAAATTAAATCTGTACGACAACAAATTGGAATTCGTAGGAAAATTCTTTAAAGAATGCAGCAAACTTGAACAATTGGATTTGGGTATGAACAAAGTTGCCACCATCACTAACGACGCTTTCCATGGACTCAATTCTCTGGTTGAGTTGAATCTGGGTTTCAATTCACTGGCCTTGGTACCCGAAGCTGTAAATTCGCTCCCAACGTTAAAAGAATTATCTTTAAACAATAACAATATTCAGATTTTGCCTGCCAAAGTTTTTAGCAACTTGAAAAATCTGGAGACGTTAGCGCTAAATGACAATCGAATAGCTCAAATATACGAAAATGCATTCGGAGGGTTGCGAAATCTGAAAAAACTTGCGCTTAACTCAAATTACGTAACAGATATTGATGTGGACGATACGCTTCAGGATTTGTCGGCTCTGTCGTTGTTAAACTTGAACATCAATTCATTTAGCTGCCGAAATTTGGAGAAGATCGTTTCAAAACTAAACCGCAAAAATGTCAATGTGCCAATGGGGACTTCAAAGTCCCGAAACAGTTTTCACGGTATCAGTTGTACCCTAAATTGAGTTTTATAAACTTTACATTTTTTGATGGAATTGTTTCTTTTCTCATTATTTTTCAAATACCACACGTTATATTGGGACTACATGCGCGATTTCAAAAATATTCGCTTTTGAGATACATAATGAACTTGCTTCTGTTTTTGCAGACTACGTCAAATCATTTGTTGTGTAGCTCGGTGGGTCACAAATAAACGTTTCTTTTTAATCTAGTTTACGACGTACTAGTTTTATGACATTGTAATTTTTATCCTTGAAGAATGTCACCAAAATTGTTAATTGACTTATCGGATGCAGGTTTGAACCGATTACACGAAAAGCGTGAAGCGTGAAGAAGTGATTTATTGTCACCTGCTCATTTTGCCTAACTAAAGGAAATAAATTTATTCCACAGTATAATTTTTAAAAAAAGTACCTCTTTTTTAGAATTTGATTGTGACTTTTTCAATTTATGTTTTTTTTCTTAGAGTAACGTACAGATAAGATACATTACAGTAAGTAAGAATTACATTACATTAAGTAAGAATTATACAGGAAAAGCGTGAAATAGAGTAAACAAATCATCTAAAAAATGTGTCTACCAAACTCTGCAGATTAAACTGGAGGACTACAATCTGCCATTTTTAAATACTTAACTAAGCAGCACTTAACTGTTGGACATCATAATACAATTCCATAGTTAAGGTTTAAAGTATAAAAAAATCATTGAAATGAACATTGTCGCCTGCTCATTTTGCCTAACTAAATTAATAGTATATTATGCAACAAGTGCGGCAAACAGCATTTGACTCACGAGTTTATTTGACACGAGCGGAGCGAGTGTTTAATAAAGAGTGAGTTAAAACGTTTACCGAACGTGTTGCATACTATACTTTTTCTACGACCGTTAATTTTTGGGTACCTTTTCGCAAAACAACACGAATACATTCACTGACATGGCCATCAGAATTAACAAACGTCAAAATTCAAAGTGTGGGAAATATCTCCGAAAACATCCGATTGCTCCCAAATTCGTGCGGTAAAATCCCGGAAATGTCCGAAGTGGCTCGGAATCATGGGAAAGGAAACTGACGTGGTAAAGTGACGCTTCCCGCACGCTAGATCGGTGGGTAATTAGGTATTTTACAGACTGGAGTGGAAAAATAAATTTATTCCACAGCATAATTTTAAAAAAACATACCTCTTTTTTAGAATTAGATTGTAACTTCTTGAATTTATGTTTTTTTTCCTGGAGTAAGATACAGATCAGATACATTACAGTAAAGTAGGAATTATGTCAAGTCCGTTTTACATTACGATCGAGTTTTACGATATTAGCTTTCGCGGAATTGAATCGGCTAACGTAAAAATAATACAAAGATGCACAAAAATAAATCTCGAAAGTCAAACACATTGAATTCGACAATAAACTACAATACAGTGAATGGAATTGGGGTGAAATCGTGTCCGCCATATTTCAAGCGCTGAATGCATTTTTATTTATAAATCATTTCCAGGCGGTAAACCACATGGTGGCACATCCGGCTTTAGTCGACCCTTTATCTACCAACTTTCATATTGTTTATTTACCACGTTAATGAAAAGTAATGTTTTTTATTGACATACGCGAAAGGTTCATAACGTAAATCAAATTGGTAACTTTTTGAAAATTCTCAAAAGGTAAGTTATTTTCAACACTGAATGCAATCTTCACCGTTTACATTATTTGGCACGAGCCAAGCGCACACTAGATCAGTGTATAATTCCGTATTTTAGAGAAGGAGGTAGTCTTGTTTTATACGTGAATTTTTCCCAAAGAAGACGAATTGGCAACTTGAAAAAGCTTTCTTTCTAACAAACGAGAATGTAAGAAGTCTTTTTTTATTAGCTTGTTTATTAGGCTTCCTCTGCAAAATTCATATAGAAAATACGTTTATTAACTCAAGGATAACAAAATATAAAACGTTCCAAAATGGTCTAGACAAAAACTTGTTGGTCACTAATCTAATCCACAGATATCTTCGAGAGCTTAGACTAATAGTCACTTCTATTTAATAGAAGTATCGGAAAAACCTAGAAAAATCTAGATTAATTATATTTGCAATTAATAAGGCAAGATTAATCAAATTTGGTAATCACCAAATGTTATATCTATTGAACCAACAATAAACAAATGGTTAACACCGACCAAAATTAAAGCGGTTCTAGTAAGTCACCTCATGAGATAATATAAGGGAGGTAACCTTTGAATGAAGAGATAAAAAATGTTCAAATATATATACCATTTTTCCACCACCATTTTCTAGACGAATAAAATCTAAAAATTGCAGGGTATTGAATTTCTTAGATTTCTAGTATTCCCTTACCATGTTGCCAAGTGTCATTTTTTTTTACCATTTATTTTATATACACAGGTTAACCGAACCTTTTAGCCTGAGGCAGCAGCAAAAACTAAACAAAACCGAACCAAAATAACCGACCAATGTCGTTAATGACTGAAATGTCATCTTTAATAAATATACAAACAGGGGCAAATACCAATCAATAACTTTATCACAAATCCAAGACCCTGAAAATAATCTTTAATATGACATTTTACATGTAAAAGAAGTTTTAACAACCAACAATAACGCTAGTGCCAATGAAGCAGTTATACCCACTAAAACACTCCCAACCTACAATATTGCGTTTATTCTGTTCATTCTTCACATTGCCTTCAAAAATTGGTTTCATTTTATGTTGGACATTCACTGATTACGTGAACGATGGTCAAATTCACTTCACATCACTTAGCAGGAGGTTCGTCGTTAACAAGATGTTTGTGGGTAAGATCTGTGTGCTGTAGACACTCTTAAAGCTCGTACCGCTTCCATTTTGAGTAGTTCTGTGGATTCATAAACTAACCAATTGTGTGAAGTGTTTTCTTCTGTCTCTGTCAGTTTTCTATGTAGCTAAACCTCTTTTTTTTCAAGATACTCTCTAATATCTACTACTATTAAAGGACAAGTGATACTTCTTCTACTGGAGTAAGCATGTATATCGGATATTGAATGTGCTTTTACATATATGGTGTTCCATTTGAAATAAGCCTCAAACCCTCAATGAGATAAAGTTTTTTTTGCTAAATAAAAAAAAAACTTCGCAACACCGTAACCGAAATAAAAATATGAAGCAAATCTTAAAAATTCATTTAAAACTGCATGTTAACATCTCCTATACTTAGCATCATAACTATTGCGATGTGTTTTGATCATTTTCATTCTATATACAATAACATGAAACGTATACGATATTTCACCTTGCAATTAAAGGTCCTTTTACAAAACGGACAATTGCGACTTGTATAAAAGATGCAATTTAATTCGTAATTTCGGGTCCATTGTCGTCGAACTGGCGGCTCATTGTGAATAAAAATAAGAAAGGGCCTGCCCGCTGTTTTACCAAGTCCGTCGGAAATACCACCGATTATTTTCCTGTAGCGAAATCCATTAGCGTTTCGCAGTTTCAGTACATAATTCCTCGCGTTAGAACAAAATCCCACGAGGACAATAAATTGTTCATTCAATCTTTCGACGGGATCGTCGACGCGAAGGTTATCAAAAATTTTGATAAAGCCAATAACAACAGATCACTCTCTCGGGTATGGAAAAGCACCACGCAAAAAGATTTTCCTCAACCTTATACCCGTTTATGTTATTGGGTTTGCACTCGGCGATTTATCGGGTAGATTTGATTAGCATTGTTTACGCACGTAACGTCGCATTAAGGTAATAGTGGGACAAGTTGAAAATTCGAAATTATGAAAAAAAAAAACTGATACTCAGTGTTGCTAAATTTAAAATTGCTAATATCTAACGCAACACTAGAATTAAAGTCATATTTCACTGTAAAACTAGGAATATTTCAAGGCAATGCTGGGATAAACCATATACCCAGCTATTTCTCTTTAATGGGCGCTCTCCAAACATCCCATAAAATTCTGAATACGTGCCGAGAAATTTGTTAACACTTTAAAGAGTAAAAAAAAGAAGGTAAAAAAAAGCTTAACTGATTGAAAGAATATACTCAGTGGGTATTTTGGGGGGTGAACGCTTATGGGTAGTGTGCAGCCGTCAAATCCTCTTACAGAGTAAGTATAAACAGTCATCCAAAAGAACCAAAAATAAGCAACGGAATCACCAAATCGCTGACCACGCATCTAAGTAAATTTAATCCTAAGTTCGCAGAGCGACGACTGAGGAAAAAGGTGGTAGGTTAATCACTTGACTAACTACAATACTGCTCTTTCGGAGCGCGAGCATTGAAGATGCCAAGTGAGATTTTGGCGAAACGTCTGCAGGATTCCAGTCGGAGTTCAACAAGCGAACGGATGATATCCCGGAATATAGTGTCATCACATTTTTCCATCCGTGAATCAATACGTGAATATATATATATATATATATATATATATATATATATATATATATATATATATATATATATATATATATATATATATATATATATATATATATATATATATATATATATATATATATATATATATATAGGAAGGTAACTTCAGTAGGGTTTCCGTGGCTGATGTAGGCGATGCGCTGAGGGTACCAGTAATCCCATATATTTCGCTTGGGTTGAGGAGTTTATAGCAATACCACAACTTGAGCACTGTTAACGTAGCAGTATTATTTGCTAAACTAATACAGTTAGTACAGCAAACGTGTGCTTTTTATACGATAATAATAATTGCGTCTACTTACGGAAGGATGTTAAATCTGGAGGGAGTCGCAACAGATCCCCTAGATCACAATGGGGGCTAACAGGCTGCAGACTAAGAACGTTGCGAACTGCAATCTGCAAATATCTAAAACTAATTCATGAGATGTGACACCCCACGACTACTATCAATCCACCAGGTATTGAAGTAAATTTTTCAACACCCATATTTTATTGACTGCCCGAGAAGCCAGTCTAGGTAACGCACACCTCTGTGATATAAATAAACTCACCGAAGGCGCCGCTGGATCCCACTTTTTATTTTGGCAAATAGAGAGCCGGGTTTCAATTTTTATCTCCAGCATTAATTGCGCAAAAAGGGAGTCCCTATTACCTTTCCCCGCTCCCGCTTTGGTTAAAACAATTAGCTCGTCAAATGTAATACTTTATCCGAGCTAAAACCATGGAAACAACGAAACCGAGAAAATC